CTAAGTGTCTGGGGAGGGATGTCACTTCAGTTAGTAGCATGACAAGCTACTGAGATCCTAGCTGGTAAATGTGCAATATAAGAAATAACAAAAGGAAATATTTAGAATCAAGAGATGCCAAAACTGCAATCAGCAAATGGAAGGCTAAAACTGATGAGCAAATCTGGATGGTTTTTTTATTATTTATTTTTATTGTTTGAGCTGTGCCATATAACCATCTTGTTACAAAGAACAATCAATAACAGCTCCCAACCACCTCACTGCAGGGTGGTGGACACACCTCCACCCACATCCCTTGCAATGTCAACTTGGTTGGAGATGTGCACAATGGTTCTGAGCAAGAGAGGTGCTGTCCTGCTCCCACCTCCACACAGGCAGTGCCTGTGGTCATAAACCCCCATGGCAATCTGAGGTTTGAAAAATCTGGATGTTGAAAGCCAGTAGAAATGCGTGATATCAAATCCACAACAAATTAGAATGTTAGAGTGTAGGGGGAAATAGAAATAGTCACTAAGACTGTCTTAAAACCAGCAAATACTAGAAGTGCCCAGCTATAACAGCAGAGACAGCCATGTGCACGAGAACAAAGATTATGGCATAAAGATGAAAGACAAGCAAAGTGAACCTCCCTAAACCCCCAACCCACATCTGAGCCTGCAGGACAGCTCTATGCCAGTGAGTAACAGAGCCACAGCAGGAGGGGGGACCAGAGGGATGAGGACATGTAGATAATAAGCTGCAGGTGGCTGGCAGACAAATATCACTGCCAAACTCATATATCATCAAAAGCCACTAGAAGCAACACCAAAAGCCACCAGTAAAGCAGGAAGTAGACAGGTAAACCTGTAAGAAGTGAAGCAGCCAGAACACACTTCTCTAAATGACCCAAAGCACTGGGAGGTGTTGACTACATGAAATACTTCTGGTTGAGGATAGAGAACACAAGAGAATTGCTTCATATGTTATTCTCTGTTCTGGAGGAAGAGTGAATAGACTTGAAGGACAGGTGATGTCTCTGAAATATGCAAATAGAGCTGAGCTGGCCCAAGCAATTACCTTTCCACTGCCTGGAACTTCAGACTGAAAGGAATGACTCACAAGGAAGAACAAGAAACAAAAGATGTGCTAAAAGGTAGAAGATGACTAAGGAAGACTGTATCAAGAAGAGAATGGAGACTAGAATGGACAAGCATAGTCTCGACCTCCTACCAACAGCTACTCTTGGGAAAAGGAACAAAACAACCTAGGACACAAACCACAGTAAGACCCATGCCAAGAGAGGAAGACCTAACTGCAAAGCATCCAGAAAGGCAACTGTGATGGTTGTTTCTACACTTCTAGGTTCAAGGTAAATCCAGCAAGGAGGTCCCTGCAGTTTCATGAAAAGACAATGGATCTCACCTCAATACCCTTTAGGTTATAGGCTATTTTAAGGATTTCCTAGCAAACAAAATTGCTAGCATAATTTCTTCCCAGGTTTTAGTCAAAGCTCTGAAAGGAAAGATCAGGCATGACTACCAGGCAACCTGCTAGCAGCAAGGGTGAAGAAGAAACTAAAACACATTGGGAATAAGCATGGAGATGAGCACACAGATGTGCCACTACTATCAAAAGCAACGTATCTGCTTCCCAGAGCAGAAAACAGCTGTGCCACTTGCTTCTCAGTGTTCAGTTGTCTCTTAAGAAAGTGCAGGTGCTCCAAACTCCATGCAGGAGTAGCAAGTAGGAAGTCAGATGTTGGCTTCTACTGATGTTCCCATTGCTTCTGAACACAAACTTGGGGTGCTTCTACTGCATCAGAATGCTTTGACTTTGTTTGAGGTTTTTCTCCATCCAAAACAAGCAAAGATTATGAAGTTATAGCAGTTACAGTCTGATGTTGAAAATGTGCTAATACAGGAACTGCAAGGTCAATATGAAGGAATGAATCAATGTAAAAATCAAGACAAAGGAATGAAGAAGTGGATCTATTTGGACTGCATAAGAAACACTGCATTTAGTTCCATTCTATTTATTAAGAAAAATACTGACAGCCTGAAAGCTGCAGAACAGCAGCAAATCTGCTGGGGAAAAATGAAACTACGAAAAAGGTGTTTCTAAGCTTTAAATTTTGCATATTTAGTACTGAAGGATTAAGACATTAAAAACTGCAAATAAATGAAACAGAAGCTTGAGGAGGATTTAAGATAACAGGAACAACTTTAATGGATGCAATGAACTGTTGAAGAGAAAAATGTAGGCAATATTGAGAAAGCTTTACAATAGCAGAAGTCATGAAGCTGCATAATGAGAAATTCAACACCTTTGTACTGTAATTACTATTGATGATTCATATTGATATGAAAGCTGAACTTTTCTAATTTGTACCAAGCACTTTATACTGCTTTTAACCAAATACACTAGGAGTATTTCATTCATGATCTACTGTACATAAGAAAATTCAAAGGAACCCAGCAGATAAGCATGTAAAGGAGACACAATGACAGTGATGAAGCACCTTGTAATGTACCCACAGATCTTTTCTATAAATCCAATTTGAAATTTGAAGACTAAAATAGCTATTTTATCTCTATCCCCTGACACATGCATCTCCATAATTTTAAAGAGCAGAGCTCCCCCTCGTGGCCCCAGAAAAATACTACAGAGCAGCAGGAGATGAGTGAGAGACTCCCGATTTTCATATAAAAGTGGAATTTAAAGGAAGATGCAGTAGGAAGGACAAAGAACTTCTTTTAAAGAAAGTAATGTGTCACCTCTACTTTAGTGCTAACTTTTAAATTGAATTATCTCCTAATGTAACTTCCTCTGCCTGGTCTTCCTGCAACTCAGCATGTTCTTTCAATGCAAAATGCTCTGTTCTCCTAACAGGTTCCTAGCTCAGCTATGGGCAAGGCAAAGGAAAAAGTCAGGACAAGAAACATGGCACCTGTGCAGCAGTGCAGGGTAAGTAAACCAGGCAACTCCCTATGGATTTTCCTCAGCATTATAGTTCTGTGCACCAAGACCACTCAGAGGAAAAAAATAATTGGCTTCAAAAAGCCAAGAAATAAATGCATGGTCACCTGAGTGAGAGAAGGACAGCTAGTGAAACACTGACACAAAAGCATCTGAAGAAAAAGCACATTTCTTCAAACCACTCTGACAACTCAGCCCTGCCATTTCCACAGAACCTTTTAGTCAGGCTCCAGGATTGCTTTCCTGCAAGTCTACACTTCTAGCACCAACTATTCAAAAAAGGGAGGATAGAGAGATGCATGGATGAGCAAATACAATAGTGTGACAGCACTACCCAGCATGGCCAAGCTTCTGCTGAGTCCTGGGGACAGGCTTGTGCAAGGACAGCAGTGGGAAGAAACATGCCCACACATATTCAATCCTCACCTCAGCAAGTTTCCTGGCTGGTATCTTTGTAACCCAAAGGTCACACCACAAAATTGCTAGAGCTGGAAGGGACCTTTAGAGAACATCCAGTCCAACTCTTCCACTGAAGTAGGGTGCACTAGAACACTTTACACAGGACTGCATCCAGGCAGGTTTTGAGTACCTCCAGAGATGGAGATTCCACAACCTCCTTGGGCAGCCTGTTCCAGTGTTCCACCACCCTCACTGTAAAGAAGTTTTTCCTCATGTTTAAACGGAACTTCCTGTGTTCCAACTTGTACCCGTTGCCCCTTGTTCTACACCAGGAACTACTGAGAAGAGCCTGTCTCCATCTTCCTTGCACCCACCCTTTAGATACTTGTACTCATGTCACACCTGCGACGATAAGTATTTTCTCAGGCAAGAAAATGAAGCATGTACCCCAAATCAAATCTGTCACCATGCATGAGAAGTCTTTTTATGAACAGAAGCTCTACCCATAAAAATTCAGGAAAGCATTGGGTGTTTCAGGTTGGGTTTTTTCCTCATTGTTTAGTAAATATTCATGTGTCTCACTGCTAGACACTTCATTCAGGATTGTATATGGATACTTTTAAAATTACTTTATTCCTGTATGAGAATTTTAGATGGGACAAGAATTTAGAGAGCACGTGGCCAACTGCACTGCACAACACAGCATATAAAACTATTTTCCCCAACAGCATTAAAAGGGGTTTCCTCTAAATGACAAGATTTCTTTGCTGCAAAACAGGATCCACACCATTGAAGCATGAACTCATGAGGAAAAAACAATTACTTTTAAGCCTCCAGAACAGAATCAGAAGACAACTGAGAATCAAATTCTTGATTCATAGTCTTGTGCTCACACACAATTTTGCTTCCGAAGCACAGGACCAAAAAGAGAATCAATTTCCTACCATGAAAGAAATTACCATGCCTTCAGCATTTTGTTATTACTGAACTATCTCCACTCCTTCTTCAATCAAAGGCAGCACATTTTCTTTAAGAGCAATCCTCTTAAAATTATATAAATACAAGCCTATAACCAGGGAGATATCCTTAAATATTTAATCAAGTAATAAACCTGGTAGATGAAAGACAGATTAATTAAAATGACAGTGCAGTCTCCCTATAACACACACATACAGGACTTAAATACACTTGTTATGTTGGAGTACCTAATCATAATCAGATTTGGTAATTTGCTGCATGGAAACAAAAAGGAAACATTTTTAGAATTGATCATTCAGTTCATGTCACTTTCACAGAGATTACTTTGTATTGATCAACATTTAAGTAGTAGTTGAAAAGAGAAAGATGAGAAATGGATAAAAAGTATCTTTACATGCTAAATACAGCATGAAGCAAAAGAAATTAGATCACTATGGCCAAACCAACCCTGTGCATGTGCTCACTGTAATGAAGATAATTTCGAACGAGATGGTTCTTTACATTTCAGTCATAACAAAAGTAGAGTTAAAAAAATTAATTTAGACTTCAATCTGCTCAAAATGAAGTTTGCCATGAAGCAATTAAAGTCTGTGTGAAGCTGAACCATAGTCAGCTTTACAAAGACAAATGCTGGTTTGTTTTCTGAACAATATTTTCACATTTCCTACCTGTGGATTCCAACTGGGATCCAGTTTTTTCACTGTAGCAACGTACTCCTGCATAGCTTGATGAGGGCTGGTGTCTCCCAGGGCTTTCCAAGCCTCCCTACAAGAGAGAGGAAAACATCGGTTAGCCACTCAGAGACAGCACAATGAATTTTTATAGTGTCAACAGTGGAACAGTGAACAGACTCATCTAAATACATTCAGGGGGTGTAAAGCCATGCAGTTTGAAATGGTCAACTTTTCTCTAAAGCCATGAATGGGCACTGTCAATCCAGAACTCTGCTATGAAAGCATCTTTCAGGGGATCATGATCCAGGCTGGAACATGATTTGTGCTCACAAAGTGTAGCTGTTTGTAAAGCTGTGGCTATTTTCACAAAATTTTTCTCATATCTAGGATAATCTGGATGAACAAGGTAAATACAAAAGTCTGGTATTTTATGTCTGCACCAAGCATAGGAGCAAACATCTTCCTACTAAAGAAAAGATTTTAACACCAGTTCAGTAGCAGAGTTTCAGATTTGACATCCTCTATGTCTTGAATCTGTCAATAGACAAGATGAAGCAGAAAGCAGAGCCAGAAATTGTTAAGAATTACAAGAATTTCCTCTTACCATTTCTGTTTTCCCTCAAAATCAAAGAAGCCTGGCTTGGGAGTGTTACAGGTTCCAAACTTCACCTAAAGAAAAGAAATTTCCTTCTGTTAGAACAAAGCAAAGGAACGAGTCTTTCATAAAGAAATCCTGGGTTCTGACGGTTTCAGGGTAGTTTGTTCTTGTGCCAGAGGAAAGGTTTCTGAGGGAAAGAACTAACACAACTCAGTCTTGTTTTACCTTCATTTTAGCACTCTGGCAGTTATTAGCACCTCTGCATCCCTGTGTTTTCTTTGTGGGATGCAAGGGAAGCAATTTTGTTATGGAGCTCATTTCTTTTGCATGCATTACCTAACAGGGATAAACAGCAAATGATTTCTCACTTAATGTTATATTATTACCCAGCCAAACGCTTCAGCCTCCACCAGTATCAAGAAAAATTCTGTTGATTAGGGTTTCTACAGGGATGTTTATTCATTAAGGCTGAAATTCACCTGCTTCCACACAAAGCTCAGATAAACAGACTTGGCTTAATTATTTCCAAAGTCCTCTGGAAAGCAAGGGGACAAACTCAGAGGAAGAAAATGTCAAATATGGAAAATATCTTATAGCCAGTGTAAAATGGATTTGGTACCAGTGGGAATCAGGTAGTTTTCCACTGAGTGGTGTACTGGTAGGACAAAGTCCTTCCTCCTCACAGCAGGGAAGTCTAGCAGACATACCTGCTTTGTAAGGTCACACACAGAGGACTGACGGAGGCTACACCTACCCAAGGCTCCAAAGGCACAACCACATTCTGGCAATAAGGTCAGTGCTAACAACTGCCTCAACAGAGCAATTAGCAGGTTGAGATTTGGGTAACAGAGATTTCGTTGAAGGCAGCTCAGGAGAAGGTGTAAGTGAAGTTGCAAGTGAAGTTGCCTCTGTTCCTGCCTGGAAGAGCCAAGGAACATGGGTCAGGACTCACCAGCTCTGACTGTGCCCCTTTCTAATAGAAAATAAAGCCCTTTTTTTTTCCCCCACACAGGGATCACTGGTAAAATTAATCGAACCGAAATGAAAAAGACATTGTGAGACTGAATGAACTTTAACAAAACATAGGGATTTTATTTTTTTTAAGAACTTTTTTGTAATGGAAGAGCTACATAACCCCCCCAGGGATGGTGGATGAAGGACTGTAGCAACCAGAGAACCACAGCTCCACATGCAACAGCCCCTGGGATGCAGTTAGCACAGCAAGTCCCCAGTAACACAGGACACAGCCCAGCACAGATGGGATATTTAAACAGACACAGGTATGTCATGGAGATGGGCAAAGAGTGCTGGTTGAACATTTTGTCAGCCAAGCAAAACTAAACTGCACTCAAACATTTTATGAAATACACTCAAGTGTTCAGGCAGGTGAAGTGCTTAAATCAACTAACAATTCTTCACCTTAACAGGGTGGGGATTTTATACTGAGGATGGAATAATTAATCAGGCTTTAAAGAGAGCATGTCCATGCTGAGAAATATTTATTAGTTACACTATGTTTTCATTTAAAGTGTTAGAGGGTGTGAGTGACTGCAACTGAAATTAATTTTCTGTACATCTGACTGTCTCCTAGTGAGCTATTCATTCAAATTAGAACATCTCAGCTGGCCTTTAAAACAATATATTGCATTTCATAGAGTAAAAAGAGAAGGGGCTAGCAACAGTTTAATTCTATAAATCAGTCAGGAGTTATCTAGTGTAAATGTTCTCTCCTGTGCTCAGAGGTGGATTGGTCCACTTGTTTTAAAAAGCAAAATAAACATGGAAATAAAATGCAAATTCATTATCTGTATGGAAAATGCCTGCTTGGCAGTTCTTTAGTTCAACAGCTAAAGTGCAAAAATTGGCCAAGTTGGATTAAAAAAAAATATTCTGTTTTAATATTAATTTTCCACTGCCATCATCAAAACACAACAGCAGTTTCTTTAGATTTGGCATTCAGAGGCAGTTCTAGCATCAGGGAATACTGCTACTAACACAAATCAAGGAACAGTAGTTAAATTTCATCCATCAAGAGGGGGGGAAAAGTGCACTTGTGCCATGTTTGCTACTTTAAGATATATGGAAAAGGCTTGAAGTGGCTTTGTGGGAAAGATTAAAGGAAAGGTTTTGGCTCCCCTCTTTCTGCTGCAAGACTTCATAATGCATCAGGAACCAACCAGGAATGTAACATCAGAGGGAACACAAGTCTGACAGCTGAAGCTGGGGGACTTTTAGCTAAATATCTAAATGCTGACAAATACTGGAAGGTGGCATTCCATTAAGGACTTCCTGGTACTTCCCTGGAGGGCCTCAAAAGCTGTTTTTCCCCACAACCAGCAGAAAGACCAGAGCCTGTATTAGTATTTCAAGCAAAGAGTTTCTCATTCTGTATCCACAAAATAATTACTGATGGTCTCCAGGGGGCCAACAGGTCACTTGATGCTTAGCTCACCTCATTTACAGTTGCATTAAAAATAGAAGACAGCCAGAATGCATGAAATACTTCCCTAGTATTGCTGCTGCATGCAGAGTTGCCTGCAGGCATTATACTCATGAACCCTATAGAGATGACCCAGGCAGCTCCAAATGGGAAGTGTCTGCAGATGTCTCCACTTGTGGCCAAAAGGGAAATCAAGAAACCTTGGATGAAGCTCCCACCTGAGAGCTGAAGGTCACAATATTCAGAAGAGTGCTTGGGGAGAGAGATGCTCAGTGGTTTGTTAGTGCCACATATCACACCCATGCAACTTCAGCTGCTGGTCCAGACTTTGAGGAGCCTTGAGATTCTCCTTACACATTACTCCACAATTGATGCTCCTCCTCCTGGTGGTGGTGGAGGGGTTAAACTGGCTCTTGGATAATTTTTCAATTAATATATTGATACAACAGGGAGTTCCAGCCAAATATTTTTACCTGATTGCAAATCTTTTAAGGGGAAACCTCTTTGCAGCCTCCTTAAAGAGCAGTAACTCCCCTCCATGGACAGCAGGACTAAGTTCTATCTGTGCACAGGCCAAGTAAGCTCAATTTCTTTGGCAAGATGGGAATTCCTGCCTGTTCCTGCCCAAAGCTCTTCCCCACTAACCTGCCTGAGCCTGTGGGAAAGCCCTGTGCTCAAATGACTGAAAGTGGGGTGCAAGGAAGAACAAGCAAACATCAACCACAGAAGGCAAGGGGGCCTGTATGTCCCAGAGAGACAAAAGGGCAACACTGGTAACACCAAGTCAGAGGCATCACACTGCTCCCTGCAACAGGAAGCTGCAGGCAGAAAATCCTATGTTCTAGGCAGATTTATGGCATCATATTCTACCATTTTTGAAAGACACCATGCAAAAAATGGGATTAGACTCTTGAACCTACACTCAGAGACAGCATAAGCCCTGTTTTGCCAGCAACACTGGGTTTCCAGCTTGCCTGCACCTCTCAGCAGCTCCTCAGGACCTGGCACATCCTCATGGCAGGGCAGTTCACTCAGTCCAGTCATTTACAGCAAGTTCTGGATTCCCACCCCTCTCTGAATGATGACCCCATTGCAACACTTCCTGAAGCTCAGCTTTTTGCACCCTCAACACAACAGGCAAGCACTATATTTGCTTCACCACCACAGACAAGCAATTTGCCCAAAGCCACACAAAAAGGAGGGGGAGAAACAGAAAATTCAGGCCCAGGCCAAAGCCCTACCACCTAGTCTGTTCTGCCTCCTGTTCTGGGGCAGAGTCGTAAACTCAGCAACATCTTCTAAACACCTCACTGAAGATGACAACTAAGCAATTCCCTTATTTTCAAGTCTCTGACACATAAACAAAATCAGAGAGAAAAGTAATAAAATCTTGAAATGGCCTCCAATAAAAGGTAATAAAATTCCAGGAAAATGCCTATATACCCAAACAGTTTGAAATAAATAATATACAGTATTTTAACAGAGAGCTCAGCTGTTGCTGTCACCTCTTTTATGATGGTGCTGTATCTTAAATCAAAGCCCTTAGTGACATAAAACACTAAACTGAGGAAAGACAAGGATGCCAAATCAAGGACAGTGGACAGATCTGAGTCAGCACCTTTTGTGCACTAGCAATCCTACTGTCCACCAGAGTAATATATTAGCAGCCCATTATGCATACTGATACAGCTGCTATAATTAAATAGAGAAAACTTGCATTAAGTGCCCTCGCCTTGATTTAAAGCACAAAAGGCTGCAAAACCCAAAGTTAGCAGAGCATAATCCTGCAGTAGCTGCACTAGCAAACTTCTCCCATTGCCACAGTCAGCACTGCCCTCCCAGGCACTCAGGAACAGGGGTGGCACCTTTCTGGGCAGCATGGAAATGCAGAAGCCAAGCACAGCCTGAAGCCCAGGAGCACAAAGGCACCTGCTGTTGCATCCTGCTTGGCCAGAGACAAAAGGGACCCAGGAGAAGAGGACAGAAGTGCTCTGTTCCCCTCAGCTGAAGGCAACTGGAAATCTGTGCTGACAGTGTTAATTATCAGCTTTTTCTTCACTTGTATCAAAACTGTGGGTTCTGATTTGAGAATTTGTTCATATTAAACACCTTATTGGTCTAAGAGCTAACACCAAGAAGCCCTCTGGAGCTAGTTTGGCAATCATGAGCTGATATACAAGTACAACCTAAAGCATCTGCAACAGAGTAAAAAAGAGGTTAATTGCAATAAATCTCCTAAGAATAAAGACCAAAAAAATTACAGAAGAGAAAAACCACTCTTTTAATCTCAACCTAGGCATGGCTCCTGTTATTCTTAGTTCCCCAAGTATGTTTTTTCTACCCTTTTTTTTTTTTTTCTTAAAAAGGCAAAGAGAAATCTGGAGACCTGTTTAAGAACTGGAAACATCTGAAAACAAAACCTCACACAACCAGTCTGTTTTTAAAACAATTAATGATCCACAAACCACAGCCTAGGGGCCACCAGCTTAGAGGATAATTAAATATTGTACTGAAGAACAAAAGCATTTGTAAGGGGCAGTAGTAGGACAAGGTTGTTCCATCTGGAAGAGAAATCATGGGGGAAATGTGCACACCCAACTTGGACTGTTAATAGATTCAGTTTTCAAGTCC